GTGGCGGTGATAGGATCTGCGGCACAGTTACGAGCGGCAGGAGGAATTATTGTTGAACTAGTAACAAGGATAAAGCTATAACCATACCGTTAACCAAATATATCTGTGTTCTGTTTGTTTGGTGCTACCTGTTATCTGTCTATCGCGACATCACCGTCCTGCCTGTTATACCGGCAGGGATGGAGCGGGGACCTGAAATCCCACTACCATAGGACGACGCGAGTTACAAACAATTAACAGCGAGATGTCGAACCGTAGTGCGAGCACACCTCCTAGGCCACGATAAACATCACACTTGGATGGCTGAGAGTAACTACTACTAGTTACTAGTAATGGAGAGGATATGATCCTAGTGACAATTGATGAGAAAGTTAACGGACGAGAACCATGGAGCAAATGCTGGACAGAAAAAGCTTGCTGACGTACAGAGAATTAGAGACGAAGAGATGATTCTGGAGGAGCATAGTGAAGTAAGAAATAGGAGAACATGGCATATAGAAGTAGAAGTGGAAGGAAGGCTGCGCCAAACAGTTTAGACAGTTGGAGAAAGACGCTGCAGACATGAGTTTCGAAGGATACATAAGATGGTCAGCTGGTTCCAACGTGAAGCGGAGGAGGGGACAAGGACCAACAGAGCAGCCAAGTTCGCGAGTTTGGCGGTTTTCCCCAGGGGTATCGGTCTGCCTGCAAAAGGCAGTGGAGGCCGTAAATTGAGCCTAAGCTAAGGAGGTAATGGAAGTTCGAACGGAAAAGTACACAATGACAAGGGCATTTATAGGGACTGTTACGCGAGGAGGCCGCCAATGTCAGGTGAAGAAATGGAATGGCTTGTCAGATCGGTGGAGTAAATTCACATATTTGCGGGAAGGGGCACTAGGTGAAGAACCGCGGAAGATCTGCAGAGAGATCGTTCACACAGATGCGGCCGGTGTGCATTAACTAGCGGAATTATCAAGCTGCAAGAAATAGGGGAAGAAGAATATCACTACAACGAGGCACGTGAACGTAACTCCTTGACATGCACCGGTATTCAGTCGAGAGAGATACCGCTGACGGCTGAGAGGCTTCGTGCGATTGACCAGTTTTCTTTACAAGTTCTCTCCGAGGGACACGCTTCACTTAGTGAGGATGATGAGGGGCAGACGCTCTCGCGGGCGCTCCCTCCGGAAACCGACATTAATCTCGAGATATAGTTGTGCCGCCCTTGTGCGATACCTCCTACGTTCTACGACAGTTATTCCGGTGCGTTGAGACTCACTTAATTACGTCAAACCCACCCCGTCCATTCGCGGCCGAAGGAATCAAGCATCTGGAACCCTTGGTCAAGGGGGAAGGGATATCTCGAAGCCGTAAGAAGGAGAAGTACGCCACTGCGAGAGGAACATCATGTGCCAGCCACCACAGAGAGTGAGCCATGACGGACCGACCGGGAAAGATGAGAATCAACGATGGGACTGCTTTCTCGACAAGCGAGTGCTTGTTCACGGGACGAGACAGAGGACATTATGTGCATTTTGTTTGGGAGAGCATTGCCCATGAAAATTGTTTGAAAGTAGCGGTGTAAGAGAAAGAAAAAAGAGCTTCTGCGCAAAATGGCTTAAGATGTTACAAGTGTATAAGGGAAAGGGCATCGCGCCCCGAATTGTCAGTCTGTAGTAAAGTGTAAGTGGGGCCGGTGGCATCATACGTCGTTGTACTGGGCCGGAAGAAAACGCGCAAGTATAGATAAAGGGAGCGGGATCGGGCCGAGTACGGTAACACGCTGAGCCGTCAAGTAACTGCATGTCGAGATGGGGATCGCGTGGCTTTTACAAACTGCCCTGCGAAAGCCGTCAACGAGCGGCTCGTAGTATGAACTAGAGTAATTAGAAAAGAGTGGCTCGAAATAAAACATTCGGTGTAGAATCAAAACGAAACTAGTTTAGAGATGTAGCTCGAGATAGAATATTAAACAGCCCTTGACAGGCGGTAAGGTTACGCGAGTAGAGCATAGGTAGGCCAAATATTTTCTCATATTCAAAAATGAACACATCTGAGATTGTGAAGAATAGATTACCGCAGCACTTGAGAAAATTCTTTTGATTTTTAAATGTGTACAAAGGAGGAAGGCGCAGCTTGAAGATAGATGTATTGATAGGGGCCAGATTATTTATGGTGTTTCAGAGTGGCGTACGATAAGGGGGAGATAGGTCAACCGGTTGCAGTAGAAACGAAAGGTAGGATGGTTGTTGTCAGGACCTATGAAGGCGGTAAAATCATAAGGATAAACCTTATATTCCTGAGCAATGTCAGTTCAGAGAGCGATAGTTAGACAGGGATATCCATAAGTTGATCGGCGATTTAGAAAACCCTGGGAATTAGAGAGCAGCTTGAGGATTGTAAGTGAGGAGTTTGCTGTACCATACGAGATTTACTTGGTCGGGAGGTATTCAGTGAAATTGCCATGGAAGGAGAGCCACAGAGAGTCGCTGCCAGACGCCGCATTTTATTTACGCTCAAATCATAACAGGTCTAGGCATATAGGAGTCTGGAGGATAAGCCATGGTCTTTTAAGAGGCCCTGTGAGAGCCCGATTTACTCCAGCACGATACTCAGTGTTGATAGTATGAGTATGCATGCCCAATAGTTAAAGCGATGCAGGGCCTAAGCTTCGAATCTTGCCCCGGGCCTATTTATCATGCATCACCGAGGAGAGAAAAGAAGAATGGGATTGATCTTGAAACAGAGAAAGAAAGTTCACTATACTGCGGGCGCACCAAAAAGTAATACGTAGGGAAGCCCAGCCAACAACGAAGCGTTGCGGATCGCTAGGTATGAGTTGCGTCAGCCAAAGAGAGTAGATGGAGGAATCTCACTAAATGACTGTGCGGTGCAGTTGGGCCCCCTACTTAACCCGAATTAGATACTACAAAGATTTTTACTAAGGTTTTGGAGAAAATAAAGTAATGCTTGGCTGGGAATATTGAAAACGCATTTCTGACAATAGGGCTCGGATGAGAAAGATCGAGTAAAAGTTTGAGAATTTCTTTGCGTCGAGGTGGGAATGTACGTTGGACCGAAGAGAGGAAATGATGGATGATTAGAAGAATATCGATTTGTCGGTGTAGATTTTCGGGGTGAATGCATTGTCGTTTTTGGCTAAACGCGACACTGCGGTATCCTATATCTAAGTATGCCAAGAGGGCCATGGATAAGAATTTGCAAAAAACTAATGTAAAGGGTTCTACGTGGATGACTGGCTAAAAGGGGCGAGAAATGCACTGTTGGATACTGCATATGGAATGCTGATAAGGAGCGACGCTAAAGATAGGAATGGCGAACGAGGGAAGTTAAACTTGAGGAGTGGCGTGATTAATCGATTGAGAGTTTGAGTATTGAGAAAATACAGTCAGCAGGACGCTGGGTTACTTTGAGCCCAACCTTAAGGTGAGTAGGTTGGATGAAGAGGAATTGTATGCAAAGCTCAAGCGCTTCAGTAACAACATGGTGTGCCACAAAGGCTCTGAATGTCCCTAGGATTGACTCGGAATACGAAGCCAGATAGCATCAGATTTTAGATTCTGCGAGCCGGTTGCTTGAGAAAGCTGAGAACTTTACGGTAAACTAAACGTAATGTTTTTGGTTTTAGTAGCCAGGTACGTGTTTGGACCACTGGGAATGGTTAGCCCCAGTAATGGGTAGAATAAGATACTTTTCAAAGAATGGAGTTAGAGATAAATTAGATTGGGATGAAGAGATCGTCGGTGAGCTAAGAAAGAAATGGGAAGGGTGGATAGAGGACTTACCGTACCCAGGGTACGTTTCGGTAGTACCCTGGGGGACATAGACCCTATCAGCTATATTACTAGTAAGTAGTATTACTATAGCTCATGGGGTCTATGTCCCCCAGGGTACTGCCGGAACGTACCCTGGTAACTATCTAGGCTGATATGGTTAGGGTTGGAGGGTTCAGTCCGTTCAAGTGTTAGGGTTAGGGTTAAAGGTTAGGGTTAGGGCGTTATGGAGTAGGCGTAGGCATCGTAGCGTTGTCACGATACTATGCTACATAATTAAATATACATAATTTACTATATTACACCGTTTAGCTATTCGATTCTCCTCAGGAACGCGTCCTTCGTTTTCCCGAATTATTTAACTAGTGTGATGCGGGGTATTGTTGTACCTACTTACTTGGACGTACCGGATGAAGATATCAGTCGCACTGCCCCATCCAATGAAAAGGACATTTGCAGCTGGTGCATGCACAGCTTAGATTGTCCCCAGCTGTCAACCCTCCGCCACGAGAAAGCATGAATCTTGGCAATAGTCTTCACTAATATAAAACTCGGTGGCAAGCTATGCGATATAGATATTTTCCTTATTTAAGTGAGCTTCACAACATAAATACAAAGCAAGTTTGATACATTACTGCGCCAATTGGTTTTGTGCTAACGAAGTATTCGCAAAACTCTTTGAGAAGATTTTAAACCATATTTAACGGCACATCACACGTTCTTTAGTGTCCAGCGCGTTGGCAACACTGCCCCGAACCCCGCCCGAAATTCGGCTAACGTGAAAACTAAATCGATCTACCTGCTTAAACACTTAATCGAACGGATGAAACAGTCGCGATGATTCCAGTAAGGTTGGACAGTAGCCACGTCTCTAGTGTCCACGTGAGAGCAACACCGCCCGGAAGGCGGCGCGGAACTGACTGCTCTTTGAAGCATATATAAAAAAGTTCATGAAAGAGTTGGAGTCTGCCATCATATAGCCGAAGCCTGTCGCCACTCCGAGCGTGTCGTGGTAGAAGTCGGCGACGCTCAGCAGCATCAGGAAAAGAACCGGAGTCCAGCAGGCGACGAAGGCACCAATGACGATGTCAAACATCTTGGCAAGCTTGAGATGCTTAACGAGCTCAGCAAAGAAGGATTTTCCGGTCGCTCCTGCCTCCTGCGAACCGCTGCTGCTCGGTTCCTGGTGGATCTGCCGCTGGTGGTGCTTGGAAATCATCATTATGTAAGCGTAGATAAAGACCATGGCGACGCCACACGTACAAATCACCATCACGTTAAAGATGACAGATATTTTAGTCGAAACGGTGTCAAAGATGCATGGTTGATCCGGCTGCCAGCGGTTGCCAATAAGACTTAACACGCTTACGAAGACGGGAAAGCTCCAAGCCAGGACTACCATTAACAAGATAACGCGCGGTGTGACAATCTGGTAGTAGTGTAGCAGTTGCGATATTGCAATGTACCTGTTTATGTTGATGGCAATGAGAGAGTTTGTTGATGCAAGGGCCAAGAGCGAAGCGACAGCGCCATGTAGAAGGCATATGATCTTTGGCGAGAATTCGGTTAGAAAGATCATTGGTGCGATGAAGACTCCCCGGACGCCCATGATAAAATCAGCGACAGCCAAGTTTGCGATCAGCTTGTGTGCCGGCTCCTGCATGTGTGATGTCCGTGTCACAGCCAAGATGACGAGAAGATTAGCAAGTATGCTGATCAAGTTGAGTGGAATCAGCAGGTAAGCGATCGACGCCTGAATCGCTTTAACAGTTCCCTGTTCAACGTCCGACTCCATGCAGCCGATCCAGCTCCCATTCTCGGACACGGACCCGGAGATGTTGCACAGTGAACCATTAGCTGTCGCCATGATGCAGAAATAAATCTCACCACGCCAGCTCCGTAACACTAATGGCGTGCCTCTGCCGCTTTGCATATTTATGTCTTTTATACTATAATGATCTCGCTCTCTCTCTCAGCATTCTAGTTTCTGAATTCTAATTTGTATAAGTTGTAGCGTGTGTGACGATACTATGCTACTAGTAGTTTAATATAGATAATTGTATGATATACAGTCGTTAGCGTCGTAGATTCTCGTAGCGAAACGGTCCTTGGTTCTCGAACTGAATAGTTTGAACTAGCGTGATGCGGTAGTTGTTGTACTACTTAATTGGAGTACGGATGAAGGAATATGTCCGATGCCCATCATAAAGGGACATTAATTTTTGAGCTGGGCGCGTGCACATCTTATACTGGTCCCAGCTTGTCAGCCCCTCCGCACGGAGAAGCATAAATATTTGGGAATAGATCACTAATATGAAAACTGGTGGCAAGCTAAGCCGATATAAACATTTCTATAAATTTGTTGAATGAATTGCGTTGAGATAATTGAGTAAGTTGCAAACACTGAATAGAAGCAGTTGATAGAGCTTTCTCGCCGAGATTGATTTTGGCGCGTACGAGACTGCAGTTAATTCGTCGCACTGTGGCACTGATGTGAAATTGGACATAGCGGCCCTCGCAAGTAAGACGTACTGATTTCAAATATCGAGCAGTAGAAATATGTAGAACTGTTAGTTTGCGTCAGCGATTGATGTGTAGTATTCTACATTGGTCGCCAGCTATGTGGATTGTCGGAAGCGATAATGGGGTTTGTGGTTGGGTTTGCTCGATAGACGGGTAGCATGTGATGTTATATGTATGTGTAATAAATGTCAAGTTAAATGTTTATTGAGGAGTAGACACAGACTAGACAAGGCTTATGAGACGTATTTGTAGAGCTAAATAAAAATTGGAGTTGGTGAGATGCATGTTAGGTCAGATATTTGACATTGGATAGGAGTGAGTGTATTGTCACGTAAGTGGCGAGCGCGAGAAACACTGGCGAGCGACAGGGTTTAATATCGGTAGCAGCAGGTTATTAAATTCGGGTAGTAAAGGCTAATATTGAGTAGGGGTCTGGTTAAGGGTTACTACGTCGTTGCAAACGGTTTTTGATTATTACTGGACTTTATGTCATGTCAGCTCTCGTGATGTAAGGTTATGTAAGGAATTAGTGTAGTTGGTTATGAGAACTAGTAGTGAGTGATAAGGTAATACGTAACTAGTTAGTAGACTAATAGTAACTGGCGGAGACGGACGTTGGTAGCGGTCCGGTATCGGGAACGTACTGGTATAAATACTATTGTCTAATATGCCGGACGTACTGTTGCCTCCTCACTAACGAGTCTAGGGAGTTGCGTAGCCTGAGACCCCCAACGATCAACCACTACCTCACCGTTACCCAACCTAACTAAGACTAACCTAACCTAACGGATATAGCTAGATTATAGGAGGGTAGCGTTCCGGCAGTACACTGGGGAATAGACACATGAGCTATAGTAATAATACTTACTAGTAATTATAGCTGATAGGGTTTAGTCCCAGGGACTATCGAAAACGTACCTGGGTAGGGTAGTTCTATGACGCCTTCGATTTCTTTCTCTTAGCTACCGAAGATCTCTTTCATTTCCCCATCTAATTTATTCTACTCAGTTTTGAAAAAGTATCTTTTATCTTACGATTACTGGGCTAACGTTTCCCAGTGGGTCAAACACGTACTGGCTACTAAACTCAAAACATTACGTTTAGTTACCGGTAAATTCTCAGCTTTCTCAGCAACCGGTCCGAACTCTAATCTGATGCTATCTGCTTCGTAATCCCAGTCCAATCCTAGGATCTTCAGACCTTTTGCACACCCATGTGTTACTAAGCTTGACTTTGCATACGATTTCTCTTCATCCAACCTACTCACCTTACAGTTGGGCAAACTAACAGCGTCCTCTGACTGTATTTTTCCTCTCAACTCTCAATCATTAGTCACCCACTTCCTAAGTTTAAATTCCCCGTTCGCCATTCTATCTTTAGCGTCCTCTTATAGCATATAGGCAGTATCAGCAGTGCATTCTCCTTTTACCAGTCATCCACGTAGAACCCTTCTACCATTATTTTTGCAAATTTCTTATCCATCTCTGCATACTTAGATATAGGATACCGCAGTGTCGCGTTTAGCAAAAACGACAATGCATTCACCCCGAAAACTACACGACAAAATCGATATTCTTCTACATCCATATTTCCTTGCAGTACATCTACTGACCAAAGAAATCTCAAACTTTCTCGATCTTTCTCATCGACCTCTATTGTCAGAAATGCGTTTTCAATATCTCCCACCAAGCATACTTTATTTTCTCTAAACCTTAGTAAAATCTTGTAGAGTAACGGGTTAAGTGAGGGGCCCACATGCAGACAGTCATTTAGTGAGATTCCCATCTTACTCTCTTTTGCTGACGCATCATATACGATCCGCAGCTTCGTTGTTGCTGCTTCCCTACGTATTACTTCCTGGTGTGGCAGATAGTGAACTTTCTCTCTTGGTTCAAGATCAACCATCTTTTCTGTGATACCCGAACTTAGCTGCTCTTTAACTATTGCATCATACTCTTCTAGTATCTCTGGCTCCCTCTTCAGCCTCTTAACCTGGTTTTTTATTCTTCCTAGACTGTTATCATAATTGCTTGGCAGCGTTCTGTGGCTCTCCTTCCATGGCAATTTCACTGAATACCTCCCACCAGTAAATCGTATGGTATCAGCAAACTCCTCACTTACATCCTCACTCTCTCTAATTCCCAGGGTTTCTAAATCCCATAACTTATGGATATCCCTGTCTATACTATCCTGCTCTGAACTGACATTCTCCCAGGATATAAGGTTCACTTGTGTTCCTAAACCATCCCTACTGATTTTACCCTTCAAAGGTCCTGACAGCACCCATCCTACCTTCGTTTCTACTGCAACTGGTTGACCTATCTCCCCCCCCCCTTATCGTACGCCCACTCTGGAAACACCATAAATAATCTGTCCCTATCAGTATATCTATCTTCAGCTCGTCTTTCTCTTTGTACACATCTAAAAACCAAAGATTTCTCAAGTGCGGGTAATCTTTCTTCACAATCTCAATGTGTTCATTTTAAATATGAGAAATATATGGCACTACATATGCTTCTACTCGCGTAACCTTCCCGCCTGTCAAGGCTGTTATATCTATCTTAACTACATCTCTTAAACTAGTTTCTTTTGATTCTACACCGAATGTTTTTATTTCGAGCCACTCTTTTCTAATTACTTCTAGTTCATATCTACGAGCCGCCTCGTTGACCTTTCCCAGGGCAGTTTGTAAAGCCACGCGATCCCCCATCTCGACATGCATACTTGACGGCTCACGTGTTACCGTACTCGGCCCCGATTCCCGCTCCCTTTTATTATACTTGGGCTTTTCTCCCGCACACAACGACGTATGATGCCACCCCCACAACGTTTACACTTTACTACAACTGGACAATCTCGGGCGCGATGCCCTTTCCTTATACACTTGTAACATCTAGCATATTTGCGCAGAAGCTCTTTTCTTTCCTTTACACCCGTACTTTAAAACAATTTTCATGGGCATGCTCTCCCAAACAAAATGCACATATATTGTCTCTGTCTCGTCCCGTGAACAAGGCACTCGCTGTCGAGGAAAGCTGTCCCCATCGTTGATTCTCTCTTCCCGGTCGGTCCGTCTGGCTCACTCTTTGTGGTGGCTGCACATGATGTTCCTCTCGCAGTGCTACTTCTCTTCGTAAGGCTTCGAGCATATCCTTCATTGACCAGTCCAGATACTTATTTTCCCGCGTAATTGTGAGTCTCAACGGCACCGGTAGCTTCTCCAAGATCGCGGGCACAACTATTCTCGAATAAGTTTTTTTCCGGGAGGCCCAACGCCTTCAATCATCTATAGTGCGTTTTGACTGTATCGCACAAGGCTCTCAGCCGCACGGTATCTCTCTCACTGAATACCGGTGCAATGTTCAGGAGTTCGTTCACGTGCGCTCGTTGTATGATATTCTTCTTCCCATATCGTTTCTTGCAGCTTGATAATTCGCGCTAGTTAATGCGAACCCCGCAACCGCAGATTTCGCGGGTTCTTCCACCAGTCCTCGCAAATATGTGAATTTATCCACATCTGACAAGCATTCATTTCCATAAATGGCGCTCTCGTAACAGTCCTAAAGTCCTTGTCATTCGTGTACTTTTCCGTTGAACTTCCTTACCTCTAGCTTAGGTAATTTAGGCCTCACTGCCTTTTGCAGACGATACTGGGCGCAACTCCGATACTGGCTGCTCTGTTGCTCCTTGTCCCTCTCGCTCATTTGGAACCAGCTGCCATCCATGTATCCTTGAAATCATGTCTTGCACTTCTACTGTAAACGTGCCAGCTTCTTCCACTTCTACTTATATATCCATGTCTTATTTCTTACTCATTATCTCTAGAATCTCTTCGTCTAATCTCTGTACGGTAGCAAGCTTTTCTGTCAGCATTGCTATGTTGTGTTAACCTTCTCTCATTGTCACTAGGCATACTAGTACTAGTAGTAGTACTCTCAGCCATCCAAGTGCTGATGTAGTGGCCCTAGGGGTGGCCGACTACGGTTCGACAGACGTTAATTGTATTGTAACGCGTGTCCCAGTAGTGGGATTCAGTGTCCGCTCCCTGCCGGTATAACAGGCAGGACGGTGATGTTGCGTAGCAGATAACAGGTAGCACCAAACGAACAGAACACAGATATATTTGGTTAACGGTATGGTTATAGCTTTATTCCTTGTTACTAGTTCACAAATAATTCCTCTGCGCTCGTATGTGCCGCAGATCCTATCACCACTAGATTAATATTGACGAAGTAACACGTCGCTGGTTTCGTCGCGTAGACCTAGGCAGTCTCCAAGGTGTCTCCCTCTTCTCCACGCCTGCCTCTATCTAACCGGAATCCCGTTCTTCTCTGTCCTCGTTTTATTCCCCTCTCCCGTTCGTCTCCGGTTTTTACCTACCTGAAAACCTGTGCTTCTTCCCTATCTCTCTGGCGCTTTCTCTTTCCCTCTCTTCTTCTTCCTTCTCTCCTTCATCTTCTTCTTGTCCTCCTTCTTCTTCCTCTTTTTCCTAGACCTGAAAATAATGCTTCTCTTTTCCTCTTTCTCTTCGTCCTCTTCTTCTTCTTCCTACCTAGACCTAACCTGAAAAGCAACACACTAACTCTGCTCTGTTCGACGCGCCTTATATACCTAGCTGGCAACGCGCAGATTTCGTTCACTGGCGCAATCACTGTGGTGCAATCGTTTCACCCGATGACGCAACCCGTGGCTGGTACAGCTTATTGCATCATCTCATGCAACCCGTGCCTATACGTAACTATTCCTCTCTTCGACCACTTATAGACTCTTCATTCTATTCAAATCCCCTCATATATTATGCTGGCTAATAATATATAATCGGCTAATAATACAAAACCCCGTTGATTATTATACCCTATTTATCTCGTTATCGCTTTTCGCGTAAACACTCCTTGTTTTCCCCGACAGGCAGCGGCAGCAGCAGTGATAGCATGATCCAAGATGGCTGCGCCCATGGACGTGCGTGTTGACATATATTTATGTGCGGTCTATATCTTATCCTCTCTTTAGTAAATATATGGCTATATTACATCTATATTGTGAGTTCAGTCTATCCATCCTGATCTAGTCTACTGCTCCTGTAAGTTACACACCCCCGAAATCTCCACACTGACACTTGTCATGATTTTCTTGGCATAAGCTCTATGTCCTCCTCTCATCCTCTTCTTCTTCAATAGTTTTTCCATTGCGACAATGTATCGTTCACTCAGTTGCCGACGATCTGTCTATCCGGTCTATCCGGTCTATCACTTCGGTCTAACAATCCGATCTAATAATCCTCTGGCTCAAAGGACCATGTGTTGCAAAATCGCTTGTGCCGGTTCTATCGTCTAGCTATATATTGCACACTCTATCATTAATACTAAACACTCTAAATATATATATATCACTCATGGGTTTATTTAATATACACACTCTGTACAGTCACTCTACTTTCCTTGCATTACCACTCTCTACATCCTTCTCCGTCAACACTCTTTTCCAATCTCTCTTCCTTCTCTTGCGTTCCTCGTACCACTCTCTCTCCGCCGCGAAAACCCCGAACCCACACACAATGTATCCATTATCATAAACATTCATAAAAAGTCTCTCCCCCTACACGTCATCGCTCCCCAGCCGGCGCCGCCGCACCGAACCCATTCTCCGATACTTTTTCTTACACATCATACATATCTACACATTCACAGTCTACAAATCATCTGATATTATCAAGAGTACATATTCATACAATTATACATTATGCTATACGTTTATACATGATATTTTCCAACAGTAGTGTAGCGGTCGTGATATTGCAATGTACCCATCTATGTTAATGACAATCAGAAAGTTCATTGATGCAAGTCCCGAGAGCGTAACGACAGCGCCATGTCCAAGGCATATGATCTTTGGCGGGAATTCGATTAGAAAGGTCATTGGTGAGATGAAGACTCCTCGGACGCCCATAATAAAATCAGCAACAGCCAAGTTTTCGATCAGCTTGTGTGCCGGCTCCTGCAGGTGTGATGTGCGTGTCACAGCCAAGATAACGAGAAGATTAGCAAATATGCTGATCATGTTGAGAGGACTCAGCAGGTAAGCGATCCACGCCTGAATCGCTTTAACCGTTCCCTGTTCAACGTCCGACTCCATACAGCCGACCAAGCTCCCATTCTCGGACACGGACCCGGAGATGTTGCACAGTGAACCATTAGCTGTCGCCATGATGCAGAAATAAATCTCACCACGCCAGCTGCGTAACACTAATGGTGTGCCAAGACACACACTGCGGCTTCATATTACATTGATATCTCCACTTATTATAATTGCATCCGAGACAGTCGATATACTTTTGNGCTAGATCATATAGAAATAATATTTCTATATTTTTCTAAATATCTACAATATTTCTACGGCTGCTAGATAATATACATTGTGGCCGACATTCTACATTTACAGACACAGTTGTCATCGGCCATCAAGGCGCACATGCAATAAGACGAAGACACACTGCTATGCTTATCTATTGCAGAGGGCGCGTAACCAGTACTGCTTTCACGTTTATAATTTCAATCAAGCATCTCAAAAACATTACGGAATCTGTCGAAGTCGATGATTAAATAATTGTGTCGTCTGGTGTACAGAAACAGGTTACATATCAATTACAGATTGTATTTAATTTCATGCACGAAAACAATTCAACGGCATAAAACAATTTTGTTAACAGCTATATTAATTTCGACTTCCAAATCTGCCAGTAAAATTGAATATACTAATTATTATGTTGTTTTTATACTCCGCAGTGTTAGTACAATATATACAATTAAACAAAGCGTCGCAGTAAATTCAAATATCGAATATGGTTTATTATTTATTTTATGCCTTTCGATTAGAATTTCTGTTTCGTACAATTAAGAATAAGACGGGCACCTGTACGATTACATAATATAATAAAAAATGATTAATGGAATACTCATATTTAAAAAAACAATAAGCAATAGATATTTTTAATTAGCGTACGAGATTTTATTCCGCATATTCGCAATATTTTTTCAAACATTGTTACTGATACATTATTACGCATACCGCGATTCGAAATAAATTAACACGAAATATAAGCAGAAGCACACCGCAATGCCGAATAAAAAACAATTTGTGATGGTTTTTGAAGATTCGGACAGCCATGCTAGTTTTAATCGCTGAATGCTTATATATATATATATATATATATATATATATATATATATCAATCTTCTTTATATTTATCTATATATATATATATATATTAATATATTACTCAAACTATCTCAATATATATATATATATATTATATATATTATATATATATATATATATATATATATATATATATCACGAATTCTCGCGATCTTTGCTCTTAATTATTTATATCATCTCATTTAAACTAGTAAGATTATAAGAAACACGTGTTCACATTTTATAGCTATAATTTTCTCAGTATCATAATGATATGATAGTGATTTTAACAACTCTACTTACTAACATTGCTTCAACATAACTAGTGAATCGTAATTATTAAACCAAAGAAAAAAATTAACGCACTGCTCGCAAAATGGTACGATTCATTTTGTCATTTGAAAAATCACAAATAAATTCCCATACAATAAAATATAGATAGATTCAATCTGCTCATCGCAGTATACATAATTCATTACCATTTCATAAGCATATGAACAAGTGGCACTCAATCATATCAGTTCAGTTTATGGAGAAATCCGCCAGTACCCATACATAACCACGTATATTACTGTTCGCGAATATACGGTAGAAGTATGCATAGCTTTAATTACACGAATTGTTCGAACCTTTGTAACTGAACCTTCCATTGCAGCAAATATGTGTTCGGGTGTTATAAGGCAGTTAATCCGTCCGCCAGTATGTGAAATACTGACATAACGCCCTTGCGCCACAACGTCACTATTTCACATACGCAGCGTAGAACTATGTAGAACTGTTACGTATTGGTCGGAGCTGTACGTCACTATTCTACGTTGCGCTCGCCAAGCTATGTGAACATTTCACATAATAATTTTGTTGGCGTTTGCCGATAGACGCCACTGTCACCATTTTGTATATTATGTGTGATAAATTCATTAACTTTTATTGAAGAGTAGACACAACTAACAAAGATTAGAACGTATTTGTAGAGCTGAAATAAAAAATTTTGTTGTAGGACGTGTGTTAGCGGCAAGATCTTTGACATTCGATACGTTATAGTGTATTTGTCGCAGACAAGTGCACGAGAAACCACTACCAGCCAAGTTTGATCGGAGCCAGCAAGGTATTTTTTAAAAATAGGTAGCCTACTTATTAGCTAAAAAAAGCTAATATTAGTAGGTCTGTACGCCGTGCAAGACGGTCTTTGATATTCTAAGACTATGTCTACATGCTCGATCACTCGTGTTTAAAATATGCGGTCCACAATTAGGGGGCTTAGTAGTAGGACTAGTAAGTTCAAAGTTGGTTAGGGAACTAGTACTAGTAGTAGTACTACTAGTACTACTAGTACTAGTACAGTAGTACTACTAGTAGTAGTACCAGGAGTAAGATAATATAGATATATATAATAGATAATATATTATCTTACTCCTGGTAGTACTACTACTAGTAGGGCCTTCTAGTACTAGTAGTAGTACTACTAGTACTACTAGTACTAGTACAGTAGTACTACTTGTAGTAGTACTACTACTAGTAGGGCCTACTAGTACGAGTAGTACTACTACTAGTAGGGCCTACTAGTACTAGTAGTACTACTACTAGTAGTTTGTAATAGTAGTAATACTAATAGTATACTATTACTAGTAATAGTAGTATTAGTAATACTACTATTACTCCTACTAGTATAGTAATAGTATAGCTCTAGTAGGCCTAGTAGTAGTACTAGTAGTACTAAACTAAGCTATAGTACTAGTAGGCCTACTACTAGTAGTACTAGTAGTAGGCCTACTAGTACTATAGCTGATACTGATAGGGTCTATGTCCCCCAGGGTACTACCGGAACGTACCCTGGTAACTATCTAGCTGATATGGTTAGGGTTAGGGTTAGAGTTAGTTAGTAGGCGTAGGCGACTCCCTAAACTCGTTAGTGGCGTAGGCGAGGTACGGTCCGGCATATTAGATAGTAGTATTTAGTACCAGGGTACGTTCCGGCAGTACCCTGGGGACATAGACCCTATCAGCCCTACTATAGCCCGCGCACAATTGCCGGAGGCGTGCGGCAACTGTACGTGGGCTATAGTACTAGAGCTAGTACTAGTATATTACTATTAGTAATACTAATACTATACCGACCGACCGCGACCGACCGTAACGACAAACGACAAAAGTCGCGGCGACTGGCGCAGACACACTGCAGCGATGGCGACCGATGTTAGGTCAAAGTTCACCCAACATTCGCCACAGTGGCACACATGAGCAAACGGCAAAAACGCCTGCTGCGTGTGTGTGCAATGGCTCATTAGAACACAATAGTTTTTAATTTTCTGAAGTCATTTGTTGTTCCGTGTGGTTTCCGTTGTTCCGTGTGACTTACACATGAATAATACTTAAAGTTATTCACGAGTAAATACAGTACATGTAAAATCGTAATGAAATTCACACAACGTTTATTTTTGCGTGCCGGCACGCTCATTCTGTGTCATTCCCGATTGCAGGCTTTTCCTCAATCCCAGGAATTAAAGAGTTTTGCTGTCGTCCTCTCATCCCAGCGATGCCCACTCCTCTACATATTCAGTAATGAACATGCCCCAAGCGACTTATAAACAATCGTACCCCCCATTACATCAATCAATGCTGCCCCGGCCAGGGAGCGAATTTTTTTTCCTACACGTTATATCCATTGGGCTCTTCTGATTGGTTGCTTTGATTTGCTTTGACTCAACAAACCTTCAAAACAATCTGAGAACAAACGCCATTTGCAAATATTTCTTTTGGTTTATGATCGGTAGATAAGTACGTTTTCTGATGTATTTTCTATGAAAAACACACATTTTACTCATTAATATAAAATATAATATCACTATAATTACAATCTTTGTGTAAATGTGTTATTTTCATCATAATCTTAAGTTATGAGAGGGTCTGGGCTCTCGTAATACTACATACGTACGTATACGTACTCGTACTTCACTTCGTCGCAGGCAGGAGGAAGGAGTGAAGAGCTATTGTGCTGGATCCGACAGGTAGGTTCTATAGCGGATGATATATTTTGGCACTCTGAAACATAATAGATCGCGTTTGCGGGTTATTGATAGGTGCTGCCACCTTTGCAATGTGTTATGCAAAATTATAGTGCAGGAAGTTACTGCTTTTTTGTTGTCAAGAGTGCCTCCGGTGCGCGGTACCCCTGCGGTGGTATCCGGTGCGCGGTAACGGTAACGGTAACCCTAACTCCAACACCTCCAACACTAACCCTAACACTAAATACCTATATAGCTGATCGCTATATATAGGGGGTGTGATCCACAAAAATAATCTATGGTGTGGGAACAGATATCATGATGCCAAAACTCTAACCCTGCCCCTAACCCTAACCCTAACCCTAACCCTAACCTATTTACTAATACTAATACTAATACTAATAATATTAATCCTAATACTAGTGCTGCCACGTTGCGGTAGCACTCCACGCCCGGGGAATAGCAACATCCGTATTGGATTGTTTGAGCAAGAGGTTGAAAGCTTGTTTCGCCGCTAAAATAACGTCACAGACTCGCAGTGGATCTGGATCGATCTGGATCTGAATAGTTTACTGCATTGGTTTACTGCGTAGAAACAGTGACGTCAGTCGGTACATGCACAGTTTACTGTGTAGCGTTTTGTGTCTCTCTGCGACACCTGAGGGCGCCACCTGACAATACGCAGTAACGAGCGGTTTACCGGAGGGTTTACGGATGGGATTCGATCAGCGACTTTTCATACTTGACGCTCGCGCTGTACTCGCTAGTCTATTCAGTCATATTTGAAATAAGATTTTCGGATGTGCTATGTATATTACGACACTGTGACGTCATTTAGCGACGAAACAAGCTCAACCAATAGCAGCGCTCACTACAGCCCTATGTTCTTGATTGACATAGGAAAAAAAATCACGCCCGCGGCGACCCCTTCTAAAATTGATCACTATAACCTAACCACAAAAAAAGTTTGGCGCTTTTGTCCGCCATGTAAATATTTTGACCTATTTTGACCCTAAGGCCCCTAGCTAGTGTGGGCACTGCCGTACTTGAGACAGTAAGATAAGTCTGCAGCGCATATACGTAGTGTGGCTGCCGTTAATATGTCATTTTCGGAGGTTAATCAATGTGGGAACCGATCTATAGTCCTACGGGTCGTTGGTCCTACGGGTCGTTGGTCCTACGGGTCGTTGGTCCTACGGGTCGTTGGTCCTACGGGTCGTTGGTCCTACGGGTCGTTGGTCCTACGGTTATTAGTAAGAGGGGTAGAGTGCACGTCCAATTTTTTGTAAATCACATTTTTTTTATTTTTTTTTTATTATATTTTTATTTTTTATTAATCAACTTTTCTAAGAAACGTTATTAAAACGTTACTGAATAATGTTCTGCTAACCTAAAAGAAACATTTCCAACATTCAAGGAACATAACTTTGTTAGCTGGGATACTATAGTAATACACATATACATATTAAATGTGTATGTTATATAACTATGTTATGTTATATACCCTCAGTGGCGTCACAAGGGGGTGCGGAATGCACTGGGTGACACCATCAAATGGGTTGACATCAAAATAACTCTTTTAGCTTAAAGGGACTGCGTACAGGTTTCTTAGAAGAAAAAAACTTGCATTTTACCTCAACAACTTTAACAGAAAGTCCTGTCGCCTGTCCAGTTCTGGAAATTTGTGCAGCACACGCACGTACTATTCTTGGCAATCATGCCATTGCTGTAGGCCTCCTCCAAAATCTTGGTCTGTCCAGCATTGAACACAGTTTTCAGTGATGATCGCTGTGGTGGTCGTGTTATTGAAAACATACAGAGTAGAACAGTGATTAATTACAATTTTCAGCCACAATTTGTAGTGATGTCAAGAAGTGAAACACCGAATGTAACCTACTATAGTAATACACATATACATATTAAATGTGTATGTTATATAACTATGTTATGTTATATACCCTCGATCAGTGGCGTCACTGGGGGTGCGGAATGAACCGGGTGACACCATCAGAGGAGGTGACACCAAAATAACTCGTTTAGCTTAATGTTAAAATAAACAGTTTTGATGTAGTTCCTAAAGGTTTTCTCTTCTAATTCTATTGTTTTCTTACCGAATTTTCATTTTAACCACGTAAAACTATGTAAATATCAAGAGGCAGTGGCTGGAGGTACGACAGCCGTCTCTCCAATTTACGAGGCTGCAGGTACGGCAGTCCATTAATTTGCTTTCCCACAAACAAGACAAAGATGGTGGTGGCTAATTCAGACTTCGAAATGCCGTTGGAAATAAATTCACGATTTAAATTTTGGTGAGCTAGAAAACACTCGGATTAGGTATGAAAACGAACATTATTGTAAACTTTACATTAGAAGATCGTGAACAACTGCCTCAGCCCTCAACCAGTGGCGTAGCCAGAGGGGCGATGGGGGCGGCCCCCCCTAAGATTTAGAAGGCGAAAAAAATGGGAAATAAAGTAAAAAAAAAAGAAAGTGAGGTCAGGCGCGCCGGAAGCAGTTTTGGATTGGGGGGGCAAAGACCTAAGGGGGCTCACGATTTTTTTTATCGTGTGTGCGTGAGCGCGTGTGCGCGACGTGTGTGCGTGAGCGCGTGTGCGCGACGTGTGTGT